CCATAAAGGACTTCACCACAGTTTTTTTACTGGATATACTGAGGTTTTACATGCTAATTTTTTTTTTAAATTTTGTATTAAAATATGGCTTATATTTTAGCAAACCCCATTTAAATCCAAGAATGAAACAGTACGAAAATTAAGAAAAATCTGCAAAGTCGCAAACTTTAGTACGGGTTTCTAAAAAGGATTCAGGTATGCAGTTTTATAGCCCATTAAATTTTAATATATATTAGGTATGTATATATATTGATGATGAATATTTTTTTTATATATATTCTGATTTTTCAGAATTTTTCGCTGACTGGCGGCATTTTTTTTCCTTACAAAAAAAATATCGACGCGAATTTTTAGACATTCGAAACTCGCACATTATTATATTAAAATTTAATGTGCTATAAAACTGCATACCTGAATTCTTTTTAAAAATTCGTATTAAAAAGCTCGCGATTTTCCTGAAACTTTGCAGATTTTTCTTAATTTTCGTACATTGTTTCATTCTTAGATTTGAATGGGGTTGGCAAAAATATAAGCCATATTTTAGTTCAAAATTAACAAAACGATTTTAGCATGTAAAACATTGCGAATATTAACAAAAAAATGAGCTGTACCCTCAATTTCGGGACTAACTGTACATTTTATCAGGGGTAATCATGAACCAAAAAGACAAGATCACGCGGGCAGGAGAGTAGCCCGTTAGAATCGCATTTAGGAAAAAAGTTGAACGATTTTGACATTAGCCGTTTGTTTACATTTCTTCGTTGTTTACAATTTGGTGGTGGCTTTTGACTGCAATTTTCTTCATTTTCGCTTGTGACAACGTGTGTACACGTAAGATAAAGAATAATTTAACACAACGGCATGATTTATAGAAGAATTTGCATAATAAAAATGATTTTTCATGCGTTCAACAATTTCGCGGTTTTCTCCGTTCTCTTCGTTGTTTACTTCTTACAACAAAGATGGCGTCGAGATTTCGGCAGCTAGAAAATAACTTTTTTCGTTCTTTCCTTCCCGCGTGATCTTGTGTCTTTCGTTCATGAAATGGCATTCTAAAAAATTAACGGTAAATTATAGCCACTTAAAATTTACACTTTATTATACTGAAATTGAGCGAACTACAAAACTGCATACTCAAAAAAAATTTTTTTAAAAGAGGAAAATTTTGGTGAACATTTTTCGAATTTTCCAGAACTTTGTAAAAACTTTGAATCATTAATTTATATTCCATTTGATGCAGAATGAACTATCTGCGTTCCACGAGAGCCAGCTTCTAAAAGAGTATGGCAATAACCATTTATTAAATTAAAAGTAAAAGTTAGAGACAGCAAAGATCTTCTGGCTTCCAGTGATTTAAAGTCTATTAAGAGCAAATGGGGAATTGTACGTTGGAATAGGCTCGGTGAAGTTTAGATTTCGTAGAGCAAATTTAAGAAAAATCTTTCTGAACCCTTTCAAATCCTATTAATTAAGTTTTGAATGGTATGGCCTCCAAATAAAGGAAGCATATTCTAACGTAAAACGAAAGATGGAAAAATGTGTATAAAAATTTATGTGCATAGGGGTCAGAGGACATTGAAGTCTGACGCCTGACAAAACCAAGTACAGCTTAAGATTTAGAAACTGATGACTGTGACTGATATGACTATTAAAAGAGAAATTAGAACTGAAATTATCACCAATGTCGTTGATTTCCTGAACTTTTTTAAGTTGATTTTGAGATTACGTATGATGACGAAACAATACTGTGACTTTTGGAAAAAGTAACTTGGAAGCAGTTTTTAGTATTTAGTGAAAGGCGTACATTGTTCGGTACATTGTTTCATTTTTGGATTTAAATGGGGTTTGCAAAAATATAAGCTGAGACACCAACTGTGAAGATTATAGATCTCGGAATGAAGTCTAAGCGCATCATACGAATTTTTAATCACAGAAAAAATTTTCAAATCGTCGGCATTCAGTAAAAATCACATCATTTATAAATAATACAAAGAGTAAGGCACCTTCCAGAGAGGCTAGTTTACTGACCAATAAACTATGTGAAACTCTGTCAAATGCTTTAACAAGATCAGTGTAAATGCAGTCGACTTGGAAACTTTCCGAGAGAGCTGCAATACAATACTCACTATAGACGCCGAGATTAGTAACTGTAGATCGGTTGGAGACGAAACCATGTTTATTTGGTGAGGCTAGCCTTTTTGTTGCGAAATACATTTTCTCCTTGACGATAGCTTCAAAAAGTTTAGAAATTGTTGATAGTTTCGAAATGGGTCTGTAATAACAGACATCACTTTTGTTAACACTTTTAAGAATAGGGGTAATGGAAGTGAATTTCCATTCTTCAAAAAAATACCAGAGGTAGAGACCTATTGGAAAAAATTTTTGAAGTTAAAATTGACAGATTTAAAATGCCTTGTTCCAATACCAGTCCGGTTTACAGGATTTAGTCAGAAGTTTAGGAAGGCGTTCCTATAGACAAAAACCTTCGTAGTCGGATGTTACAGGATTAGTCCGGAGTTTTTCTTCCTGCAAATTCATGAAACGACTAAAAATTATTTAGTGATCTTTCAGCCAAATCACTGTTGTACCAATCACATGCAAACAAACCATTTTTTGCTGGAAAAACGTTATTTTTGCGTTCCTGTACACTTCTACATCTGTTTCCCTTTGACACTCACTTGAAATAGTAAAATTGTAGTTCGACAGTTCCACCCTTTTTAGTACGAAGTTCAATGAAACAGAATACATAGATACTAGTTGCGTTCCAGATGCTTAACGATTTGCAGGTTTTTACAGGAAGCCTTCCATAAAATTTTTCATACAAAAAAATTGTCGAATTTATTTTGTATGGAATAAAATTTGTAATGCAGCCAGAAAAAAAAAAAATTAAAAATCAACGCGATTTTTTAGCAACTTAAGACTTGCACATTATTACCCTAGAATTGTATGGGTTATTAAACTGCATACTTAAAAACTCTAAAAAATCTCAATAAAAAGTTGAAAATTTAGCTGAAACTTTGCAGATTTTATGGAAAAATAATAAAAATTAAATAAACGAAAGCAAAATAACCAAAATTTATCAAAATTTTGCTGGCTTAATTAGCTGATCACAAGTGTATGTACATACACAAAGGAACAACTAATAGCTCAGTTATGCATACTTCGCACTGCACTGCATAGCATGTCACTTTTACGTAGAAATCAAAAACCAACAGACTTCTACATATGTAATGCAGTGCGTTGGTCAACCGCTTACACGCAAAGCTCATTTAACAGATTCCTTATGTGACAACTCTCATGCAATGCCAAGTATGCATAACTGAGCCATAACAATATTATAATAGCCGTCATCGATTCGCCAACAGTTAGCGAGTGTCGAAACGAATGAACTCAATGAGATACACCCAAACTCGCTATCGTCCATCCTTGTTAGCTAACTTTGTTGTTGCTTTCACATATAAAATTTTTTCGTTAAGCGACCGGAACTCGAACATAGCAAGCAGCGAAGTGGCGAATCGATGACTGCTAATGAAACTTTTTAAGTTACAAATGATTTTCTAAATACTGTGTCATAATAAAGTATAAAGTAGATTTTGAGTTCACCAACACATAATTGACAATATCTTAACATGGGTTTAACTTATTTAATTTCGTTTCTTTATAATTTGCAGTGGCAAAGGTTGGTCGTGTGTTTCTTGGCCATATTTATAGTGCCCTGTTTAGTAGATTTATTTGCAATACTTTTTAAAACTGGTTTAATCTAAATGCAGACTTGTCATAACCGCAATCGTAGACATAACTTTTGCGTACCATTTTTCTTAGAATGGCGCATTACTGTGTACACGGTGCGTATGAAAAAGCTATGGCAAGCAAACTTACAAAAATGGTAGGCATTAAGGGATTTTTATCCGTTTTAAAAATTATTGGAAATTCGTCTACTTACTTTCTTAAATATTAGTTTTGCGTATTATAGTTATGTACATTTACTTCGCTGTAAACTCAAACGAATGTGAGGTTAGGTGATGGTATGTTACAATTGAGAAGCAGTTTTTCATATTCTTTACAAGTTTGTAAAGCGATCTGAAAATGCAGCTTCAAATTGTGGTACATACGTACTATACTATGTAACAGAAGTAATTACAGTCCCAATCATCTGCATCAATTTTCTTCATAACTATATATTTTTTTTTTTTTTTGTAAATTTGAATATGAAAAAAAACGATGTGTATGACGGATGTTACACATGGATGGGTCCTCTGAAATAACGACACAGTTCAAAATTCTAAAAATAAAATCCCTTACTACTGTTAAGTGGCCCATGTCTCTAATTCTTACTAAAGTAAGGAGTAAGCACTAATACAGTATCAGAGATTAGACATGGTTTAGACAAGGATTAGCGACATTAGCCACTTAACAGTAGTAAGAGGTTTTATTTTTTGAATTTTGTCATTTTTGCAGAGGACCATCGCCATGTACATACTTATTTCTACTTCTTTTCAAGTTCAGATTAAATTGCCCCCATTCAATCTTTCCATACTCTCTGGATTTCACAAATCAAGTAAATTTTGCATGCAAGTAAATTGGAATGATGTACGATTATTGGAACACCAAATACCAAATCGTAGGATTTCGGTTTGAAATCAATTTGTGCAAAACCAAAAAATTAGCGACAGTACCTTTTTCATAGCAATTTTAGGTACAAAATATGTACTTTGAAAATGTATGCAAATGATAAGAGTTGTGATTACTTATGCTGGATTTCCACTAGGCATTAAATGGCAAAAATGACAAATGACAAAGTCGGGCATTAAAAAATTATCGTGTCATTAAGTTCATTTCCACATAGCATTATTTTAAATAGCATAAATTTTTTATCGTTTCAATGCCTAGTGGAAATTCGGCATTATGTTGCATAATATAAATTTATTGGCACAAATGTGCATAATTTAATGTACGGTACATAATGATTGAATGCATCAATATCAACTTTAAATTAGTGTTGTTCATTCAATTGTTTTGTGCGCTACAGTTGGCAGATTGGAATGCATTGAACAGCTGCTGGTGAAACTGTTGACCAGAGTGAACAATACGTTTCAATTGCTAAAATGAACAGGTTAAGGTCACAATTGGTAATTTCGTTTGAGTAAATACTGGCTGTAGGAATGTTCATAGCTATTCCTTAACTAAGGTTTTTGAGTTTGCATATTCAATCGAATGCGAAGTCATCGTGATCCTACCACCCGAAATCCGAAATCGCTTGTACCACCTAAACCTGCAATGGACTGAATTGAATTGGTCAGTGAAAAGGAGCATAACAGATTTGGAATGTGGTAACATACCTTGCCGATGATGGTTTGTAAAAAAGCGCTTTTGGTAATGGCGGGAAGTGTGTAAGATTTTGTCTTTAAGTTTAATATACTGAATATAGTTTTTAAAATTAAGTAAACTTGAATTAAAAAAAAAAACATGAAATCAAATTTGTAACCTCTTTACTACTATGTAGAATTCGCGGCAATCATTTGGTGGTCAACAAGGAAACCAAGATGGGCAAAACCAACAGCAGACGTATGCCAATAAGCAAAACCAACAACCAAGCTCGGCTCCAGAACCAGCTAAGACCGAGCCAAAGGTTGTAAAACAAGAGCGCATTGAAAAGCCAGCACCTTTACAGCCGCCGCCACAACCTCCACAAATGGATGATGATGCAATAATGGAAAACAACAAGGTGGATGAGACCACTTTATACGATGAAAGCGGCAAATTGCAGTATAAGAATATTTTCCGTACTCGCAAGAAGTCTTCCGGTACGTGTTATTTATGCAACTAATAGCTATATATAAATTAGGGCGGGTCAATTTGTATGGATTTTTTTTCTTTTATTTTAACACGAAAGAAAATGTGAAAATTTTCACTGCTGCGTGCTCTGGCGGAAGTTTTAAGAATAAGATAAGTCCATAAATGGATTTATCATACCAAAAACCCCTTGTAGCATGTTTTTTTTTTACAAAATTTACCACACTACAGCAAAATGCTAAGTAAAAGAAACCTATTTTCGCAATTTGGCAAACTCAAAATTTATTTTCGACCTATTGTTTCTTCGGTAAATTTGCTTCGAATTACTCGTAGAACCCTCCTATGCTTTACGCCTATAGATTGACCCGCCCTAATATACATACACATCGTCGTTTAAAGTACAAAACCGCGCATCGTCATCTGCAAAACCGCGTAACTGACATTTGCTGCCAAAAATTGGATTTGCTCACACAAACTCTTGGCTCAATCCTTATCAATTCGTCGTGAAATATACTAGCCAGAATTGCGATTGCTTTATAAAAAAGAGAACCATTTTGAAATATGAGTTTTTTACTCCCTAGAAAAGTTTACATAATTCACATACGCGGTTTTGCATTCGGTTGATACGCGGTTTAGTACTTTAAACAACACGATATGTACATATACGTTAGAAAGCTCCCCGAAAATGCTTCTTTTTTTTTTGGAAATTGCAAGACCCTACCCCCTAATTTTATTCGTTTTAAGAGAAATATTATTGCCTAATTTTATAGATTTTTTAAAGTCAAAGCAAAAAAGCATTTTCGATGGGCACACTAATATATATATTATATCATCTTATCATCTTATAAAAAATATATTTCAATAATAATTCCAATAAATAGTTCGTACCAAGGAGAAGAAAATACGTCAGAATCGTCAATTGCGTAAAACACTGATTCCCAAGAATGCACTCATGGCACTGAATGAGGTAGCTGGTATCTCAATAAGTGAGTTTACAATTAATAACTCTTCAAGCGGTGGGTTTGTCGCGGTTGTTTCCGTTAATGACAAACAATACGAAGGCAAAGGTCACTCCAAGATAGCAGCTAAAAATAATGCAAGTGAGAAGGCATTGCGAGATTATGTATTGGAGAAAATGCGTGAGAAACCACGCTTGAGAAAGAATTCAACCAATAATGACGAATCTATGGATACGACTGAAGTACATAATGGTGAATATATGAATATTCCCCTCACATGTTTTGAAAAGCTTACTAATGGTATGGTATTTTGAAATCTCTTAGAAGGTGAGAATGGTGAGAATGGGCAACAGGAGGGAACACCAACAGTACTTGATGATGTACCAATGGCCAATTTGGCTTCATTCGCTATTTTTAAACTTTTCACTGAATGGGAGAATGAGGGTTATGTTGTACCTGAGCTGCGTGTAGCTCATCCTACACAACCAGGATCTGGTACTGAGGGAGGCAGTGTTGATGGAAGTCCACAATCTAAGCCGCACAAGGCACCGCCAATACGCTCTGAGTTGCCAAATAATTGGGAATCGATACATCCATCCACTTTACTTTGCATGGTAAGTTCCGCAATATTTTGGAAACCTTTAAGGACTGAATCACACTATTGCACTATGGAATATTTTTCATTTTCAGCAGCAAAAATTCAAACTTTCGATTTTCTAAAAGATTTTAATGTACTTTAGGGCCATAAATGGAAAAGAAATTATACCAGTTGGCGACTCGATTTATTCTCGAACAGCTGTTACATGTTTAGATTTTTTTATAATGATACAATTTTTTAGTTCACTGCAGGGAGAAATAGGGCCTTCTGGCCGGTTCGAGGCAATACGTATTTAAATTAATTTGTACTGCTAAATAATATGAACTTATCATTCACGTAAATTGTAAATAGGAAAGTCGTCCTAGAAGGCATGCAGAGAAGCACTTTTTTCAGCCCTTCTTGGGTAGTGCTTTTAGAATGGCTTCACTTAAAGCCTGCTGGGATGAACCATATAATTGGAATTTGAAATTCATTTGGAAAATGTATAAAAAAATGTTAGTCAACATTGGGACAAAGATCACTATCTGATCCGGCTTTAAGATCGAAAGCTCCAATATGGTTGTGATGTTTTCTAAAAGTATAAATCTATCCGTGACTAAAAAAATGAAACTCTTTCATATAAGAGAAAAGCCTTGTTCAAGTTGAAATCACAACCGCAGTGATGAGCGAATTGTTAAAGTATCACGTTCGATGTGAATTTCGGGCAACGTTTTAGCAGTTGGGCAGTTGCAACAGTCTTGCATATTTGTATCAGTGGGGCAGTAATGCCGCTTTTATTACGTGCCTTAAACAATCCCAAAACTTCTTATTCGATTTGCTTTCTTTAGCAATGATTTAAATTTTCTTTTCTATTTTCAGATGCGACCCGGACTACAATATCGCGAACTAGGTACAGTGGGTGATTCCCCAAATGTACTTCAACGTATGGGTGTTACCGTAGATGATGTGCAGTACGAGAGTACTGGACGTTCTAAGAAAATTGCGCGTCGCAACGTTGCCGTATCTGTGCTTAACGAGTTGTTTGGCACAAACCTCGTTAAGGAGCAACCATGCCAAGAGGAATGAGCAAAAAACTTCACATGTGCTTAGTATTTTAGAACTTAATCTTCAAATTCTGTAGAAAATCAGCGAACCTTGTCGCATTCAAGAGTTTTACCAATAAAGGACAGAATATAAATTAATAAACTTATAATCGTTAGTATCCTAAATTTTGACTTGTCAGTTCGTTTCATTGAAGCCGCTGTTGTTTTTGGGGAACACTGCTGGAGGCATAGTCGACGGCCAAATAAAGATATTCATGCCTATTAGGTAGCCGACGGATGCCATCCGCACGGATCTAACCCGATTCGCAGTCATAACAAGCGAGTGAGAAGAATTAGATTCATGAGAATGGGATCCCTTGGAAACACACCAATTCCTGTCCGACAGATACCATTCGAACGATCCTAATCCTTCGCACTCGCTTATTCCGACTGTACGAATCTGATTAGATCCGTGCGGATGGCATCCGTCGGATACCGTTATAGGCATGATTGGTCGTTGCGGTGACGTGGTGTTAAGGGGAATGATGTATGAATGAGAGACGATTGCGAATATTCAGCCTAATTGCGAGTGTCGTAATCGATATTGGAGATTAATTAAAAAAATTAATTTCAAAGTACAAAGAAGTTTTTAGTACTAAATGAAAGTAGATAAACCCCCCTGTTATGAATTTTCATGCGATAGACGATAAACGCTTGTTAGCGTATATAAAATGAGTTTTCGTATTATGGATTCTACACGCCCGATAGATGTACTATTGTGAATGACAGTGGTATTTGTTGTGAATTTAAATGAAACGGCTGTTCTTGTCTAGCTAAACTATTTTCAAAGCAAACATTTTGTACTTAAAAATCGCGCAAACCCCCCATAAGCCATACAAAATTAAGACTAAAAAACAACAATAGAAGGATGAGCGATTAAAAAGTATTTAGTCGCTAATTGAGCGACTAAGGATGCGTTCAGAAATGCATCAAGCCAAAGCATCAGTCTCTTTTACTTCTAAACTACAACTGATGAAAATACCTTATTTATTACGCAATTACGTTCCAATTAGGCATTTAACCGTGGTTGCGCATATTGGACATTTGCATCAATTATAGTTTAGAAATAAAAGCGTCTGATGCTTTGGCTTGATGCATTTCTGAACACACCCTAAGCGTCACTCATAATGGCATCGATAATCGCTTAATAGTCGTTTATCTTATGCCAGCCGACATTCGCAATAGGGGTGCATATTTCCTTCAACCTTAATTGCGTTGGCGAAGCATTCTCGCTATCGAATGCCGTGATCTCAAAAACAAATTTTGATTCGAGTTGCGTCGAAAGAAAATTACGTGATACGTCGGTCAGTATAAGCTGAATGGGACAAAGGGTACGATCACGTATGTCATAATCTGAAAAATTTATTTTTACGTGACGAGTAGTACGATATCGTGAGCCCTGGTTAGAATTCACGTAAATTACAAAATTGAATTTGATGGTTTGGAAGTTAAAATGCGACTAATTAAACTTGTAAGTAAGTAATTATTTATTTAAATAATAAACTGTGTCAGTATAATACTTTAGGATTTGTTTTCTTACGTTCCAATTTTACGCTTTGTGTGACAACATTAAGGCGCACGCCACAAACCGGAGAAGAAGCTGGGCCAAACACTAACATAACATATGTTACATACATATGTGTAAGCGTCATTCTATTATTGGGCTCGTTCGAGATGCAATCGCAACCGAAGTGTTGCCCGAATTATTAAAGTATCACGTTCGGTGTGAATTTCTAGCAACGATTTATCAGTTGGGAAGTTTCAACAGTTTTGCAAATTGTTTGCTGGGTTGTGAACGCGTCAACCGCTTCTTCTTCGATAACCGCCAAGTTTATCCTTGATGTATATAATCAATTCCACAATTTGAGCGCTTCAGAAATAATTTGTGTTTAGATGTCTGAAAGCTCGCATTAGTTCGATGAAATACTATTTTCGGGTTTTCTCCATTCGTCCAAAACTGTTGCCAAACAAATAGTTTGTTTCGAAGTGCCCCTTGCGCGAACAAATTTGTTTGTTTTTTCTTAATTTGAAAGATCCATAGTAGATTAGCCTTTTCTTTCAGGCTCCTGAACATATACAGTGGCGCAAATATTAATAGGAACGCGACATTTTAACATGTTTCGGCATTTTTTTTCTTTCTTTTAATGTTTATTATTTTTTTAATCGACTTCAAAAAAGGAGGAGGTTATCAGTTCGTCGGATTTTGTTTCATATGTTAACACATAACGTTAACCTATTTCGATAATTCTTTTCTCATCGGAAAGGTTGTACCTCAAAGGTGATACTAATTTTGTTTAGATCCGATAATTGGATCATGAAGAAATTAACGATAATAATAATATGAAATTTAAATTTTGTTTTTTTGCTTAAAAATTACTTGTTTTTATGAAAGCCCATTGTTTAACAAAAAGCCATGTACATAAAGTCCAAATTTCGTTGCGGATTCTAAAAGCTATTTAGCAACCCGCGTATTTCAGAAATGAAATAGATTGATATTGATGCTGTTCCGAATATGTATGTATGTATTTAGTTGACAATAAGGAAAAAGAAACAACCAATGAAAAGTAATTTAAAGATGAACAAATTTTGTGTATTTATTGTGAAA